ATTTGGGTGGAAGTGGACGTACTGATAAAGATGCTCATTGATGCCTGCTGCGATCGCCCGTGGGCCCGGTTTATGCATGCGGTCGCGACGCTTTCACCGCGCGAAGTGCAGATGCTGGGAGTGGAGATATATGCGGCTCACGAAGGCCCCACTTCCCGTCCAATGGACTGGGGCTCGAGCTTCTACGAGATCACGAAGAAAGGGTTCGGGGCCTCCGAAATCGACGGGGACACTGACTCGTCCCAGGGAAGTGATTTGGAGAGGTTATATATAACTTCGACAACACGACCTCTCCTGATCAGGGCCGTGTATAGCGATTCGCTAAGAATCGTGAGCCCATACGGCAGCAACGTCAGATACGATCCTGGCATGAGCGAGAAGCACGGTGCACTACTGATTCCGATGACTGACGCTGACGTACGGAACAGTCAGGCCGGGAGGGTAGCCCCGCTCTATGACGTGACGACGAGCACCCGGCAGTATGGCACTGTAGCATACACGGTGGCAATGTCCCCAAACGCGCACGATATCCATGATCTTGACGCGCTGACGCCCGGGGAAATACAGGCCCGGTATAGCTTCGCGGAAGCCAAACAGTTAATAGAAAGAGACGAACGACGCATCCGCCAGGAAAGCGACGACATATTCCCGACCTTCCTACATCAGGATGGGGCTTCGCAAGATTTCTTAGGTCGGACTAAGCGATCGGTTTTTGACGTACATTTGAAGGACTTCAACGGCAAGAACTTCGCCACCATGAGTGCGCGACACCTAGAGGCGCATCAGCATTGGATTCTGCCGACTGGCCAAATATTTACGGACAGTGTCTTGTTGTGGGACAACATTTGGCAGATCTTCACGTTTTCCGAATCGCCTGGCAACAAGCTGTCATGGCAAGTCACTTATGACAGACGGCTGGCAATGGTTCAAGTCGTCACCCGCGCCAAGACCAGGTGTATCGACGTGCTGGAGTCAAGGCAGCAGATCCGAGCAGGACGCAATGTTAGTCCTTTCGACGCAGAGCTCGCTGCTGAGGTTCAGCAAGCACCAGGCTGGGAAGACGATCTATGCCTAGTGTGTCACATGGGGCACAAGTCGAGGTACGGCATGACAGGATGTGTCGTTTGCCGTGAAGGGATTATATACGAGGCATCAATGATATCTGGAGACAAGACGAAACCAGCGATTGACTGGATAGCCGCAGGGCTCCGCAGAGACCCAGGGAATCCAGGCCCGTGCCATGCACGTAATGACGGCCGGGCAATGTCCAGGGCAGCAGTTAGTAAGAATCTTGATCGCACACAGGCACGATACCGCGAGGGATGGAGACAGGATGCTTACAACGGGGCCATCACGCGATACTATGCCGCTATGGCGGGCAAGACAGCAACTCTGTCCGCCGAAAGATCGGTGTTCGCATGGATACCAGCATCGCCGAATGACAAGCGCTCTGCCCGTGGCAACAAGGCGCGAGAGATCAAGGCGCGCAAGCTGGCACATCGGTGGATGTACAATCGCTGCCAGCCAGCTGGACAATGCGCAATCTGCCCGCCATGGAAGTGGTGGGCGTATCTGACCCGGCGCATAGACAAGACGGACTATGGTACAGACATGGGAATACTGAACATCTTTGACTGGGACACAACGGACCCTGATGCCATGGGTCTCACAGAGCCTTCCCGAGGATGGCGCCAATGGTGTCGTCAGAACGAAGATCATCTACCAGAGCGCCTCGACAGTCTCTTGAATGTGATTGGAGATGAAATCGAGGAGTTCTGGAGACCAAGAGAAGAATTGGCCGCCCCAGAAGATGGAGGGAACAGGGCTGTTCGCCGTCGAGACGCGAAATCGCGTGCCCAGGGTAGGCGTGCCCGCTCCAACAGCCAGCGTAGGATTCGGTCCGCAGATGCGCCGATGGCGTTCAGGGGCCGCACAATGCGCAGGCGAACGGGATCACGCGCACCCGGCAGGGGCCAGAACACAGCCCAGGACGACGTGACAAGCAGGGTCAATCAGTACGGGATCAGACAGGCAGCCTATGAGCTGGTGGCGTCCTTCGACACGTTTAACGTCTCTCCCACTCACCACAAGGCGGACACTTGGGCGTCATGTGAAGCACAGGTATACGCACTGTGGAGTGATCCGCCACAGCTCTGTGCTTATGACCCAGACCTAGGTGATGCAAGTGAGACAAGGCTGGCTGATCAAATATACAGGGCTACCGTCGGAGTCTCGAAGGATTCCCAATGGGCACTGGTTGACATGGATCAAGCAAGTAATGATGCCAATCGCGTTCATAGCGAAGAGGTGGACAGGTTCCGTGAGACACTCTCTCGGGAGCTCGACATTGTTAAGTCGCATCACGCGCTCGTCGAGATAGTTCACAAGGAAATATATATGAATCGGCAGGCCTTGCCGAACATTACAGATGGCGCACCTGACATCGAGGCTTGCATGCAATACGTGCTGCAGTCTCAGTCAGACGCACAATGCCGAGGTC